CCCAACATGTGCTTTGCATCCTAATACCTTAATGCATGGGCCTCTTTCATTCAATCTGTTCCAACCTCGATGGTAACTAAGACCTTCTTTTGTTCCCTGCCAGACTAATAATATATTCCTTCTAGGTGCTAACACCAAAAGAATTTTCCACACACAAAACTACCAGGAGATCTGAGCATCTCCAGCTGGTCTCCAGGAGGAATATGTCCTTAAGCGGAATAGAGGCCTGTCCTCTTAAATATTTGGATGCTTTTCTCCAGTTTTCACAGTCTCGAATTTGGGAGTGGTTTATTTGAAATGCGAAGCCATGCCAGACAGCTTTGTAGGTCCTGAAAATACAAACATCAGGAATTGTACAAAAAAGAAACGATGAAGTCAGTGTTTCACAATTCTTGAGCAGACAGTGTCTTGTGGAGGGAAAGCCTACGTATGCAAATAATTTCTGCTCTCCTTGCCTGTGTGCTCAGAAATATGTCTCAATCTTCTTCTTCTTCTTCCATGTGATTGAATTAAATGAAGACCGTGCTGCCAAACCTATGTGGACCTCATAATTTCCTTCAGTGTTCAGTACAGGCCATGTTGCTATTCTTACAACACTCCTAAAGAGGTTAGTGTTACTCCCAAATGTACAAAAGACAATAGAAATGGAAGGTGATCTTGACAGATAGCTATTTGCCAAATTAAAGAGAATAACAACTCTATTCGGAAGTGCAGAATAGAGAAAAGCATTTATTTTCCCTAACCATATTCTTGTCCCTACCTCCCCTGCCTCAATGTAACATACACTTAGTTTCTCTTGCAGCTTATCATACTGGCAGATAGTACTGCTTTTTCTACTTTATATTGGGGACTTGCTAATTGAAGTACATACTCCTTAAAGCTGCTGAGGTTGAGAAAAAATGCTCTTCAGAAAAAATGAATTCTTTAGAGTTCCGGTTGGCAGCGCTTCGGCGGCAGGCAGGAATCCACGATCGTGCGCGGTTTCTGCCTGCGCTCGCTGCTGGAGTGCCCCGAGCCAGCCGGCTTCGGGGCTAAGCCACCCCGTAGAGGTGGTGAAGACAGGGGAGACCTGGCAGGGTCGAGGGGAGCCGCACCTCTCCTCCTCAGCTGGCTAAACTCCCTTTTCCGAAGGCAGTAAGAGCGGCAGTCAGAAATGGCCGCCTCAAAGAAGCACTCAGCCGGAAAAGAAAGTGCAGGAGGAAGTTAAGAAGTGAAAGTTTTTGGCTGACCGGGACAAAAAGCAACAACTAAGGTACCCTGGAATTTAAATTTTGCAAAAGATACATCGCTCCCAAAGAAGAGTTGGAAGCAGCGAACGAAAGTGAAAAGGGAAAGTTTTTTTTTCACTCTCCTTCCTCACGCTGATAACGAGAAGATCTGAATAAAGAAATTGGAAAAATCCACTTTGGCACTAACAGGTAATTAAGCTGGAAATTTAATTAAATGCCAAAGGGACAATAAAGATTTCTGAATATTAAAAAAGCCTTTTTTGTTATAAGTGGGAAGGGAGAGGAAAAGAATAAGAGCAGGACTTGGAAGGAGGAGACTGCTTGGAATTTAAAAGAACTTAAAGTTAAATCTTAATAAGACTTCTAAAGGATACATTTTAACTGGAATTTTGCAACTAAATAGTAACCCCAAGAAGAGAAAGTGAAAAAAGAAGAAAGTGTTAAAAGAAACAGCTTGTGTGCATTTGGATTGTTTGGTGACTTTGGGATTTTTGAAAATCATATTTGAATGACTAAAAACAATTGGCTGGTTGCTTAAAAAAACATTCTACAATGGCATCACTTCTGGGTGGACTGAATGAACTGGATGAACTGAAAATCGAATTTAAAAAATATAAAGAAGAGGAACAAGAAGGGAAGGGCTCTTTTGGCTCTACTTTTCAATTCTTAGAAATGGCGATTGGTGTTTACAAGAAACAGCAAGAAAGGAATGCACAACAAGAAGATTGGGATAAAGAAGAAGCCATTTTTAATGAACAAGTAATTCTATCTGGGGAAGAAAGGGGAAAGGGGGGGAAAGAGAATGGAGAATTTAACACCTAAAAAAACAGCCAAAAAAGGGAAAAATAATGTGAAAAGGGGATATAATGTTGGAAAACAACAGAAAAGGGGAATACAGAAGAGGGAAATGGAGGTGGAGAGACAGGGGGGTAAAAAGGGGAGAGAAGAAGAAGAAGAAAGGGAAGAGAAGTTACAAAGGTCTGGAGCAAGATGTAAAGAAACAGGATTTATTCAGAGATAATGGGTGAAAATGTAATTGAAAAAGGGATTCTGTAAAGGTACATAAGATTGTATTGTTATATTTGTAATAGAAATAATATTAGAAAATTGGAAACAACATATGATTAAAAAGTGGAATAAAATAGTCTGTGTAATTTAGTAAAACTTTTGTGAACAAAATAAATGAAATGAAATAAATGAGAGAATTGAATTAGGAATGGGAACATTTTAACTACTCAATGTTTTATAAAATATAAGTGAAGTGGGAGGGAAGTAATTATGGAAAGTTTATAAGTGTTCCCATAGAAGTATGATACTTATTTGAAAAGTAATGTGTAAAATGTTCAAGATTTAAATGAATATTAATATTAATGATAGAATTGAATTGGTATGGATTGTTGTTTTAATTATGTTATATATTTACAATTTTTTCTTTTTTTAAATACATTGTGTAGTTTTAGAATGTACCAAGCAGAATCCGAATGGAAATTATGTATTACATTAAGTGTTATAATTTTAGGGGAAAGATATAAAGGCGTCATACTCCAATTAGTGATCACAGGAGAAATTTTGTTTAATGAGAAAAGATAGTAGACAGCTGAAACAAGACAGACAAAGAATATAAGCATGATAATTTGAATTGAGATGATATAAATAAAATAAAATTAAGAAAGTTGAAAGAGGGGAGAAATTATATAGAAAATGTAGAATGATAATAAGATATGGAATGGAATATAAAAATGAGCATGAACTTGAATTTGTGTCTGCACGAAGAGATGTAACCCGGGATCAGGCTGCTTTCAAAAAAGATGTTTTATGTTTTTATGTTCTATGTTTTATTTGTTTATGTTTGTTTTTAAAAATAAAAAAAAAATTCAAAAAAATTCAAAAAAAGAAAAAATGAATTTTTTTCTTAAAGCCGTTTGTAATTTTCCAAAATTATTTATCTTATGAATGCTCTTTCTACATTTTACTCACCATGTAGGGTCGGTCATGACATTCAGCCCATTGAATGCATAGATGGGGTTCTCCATGGGGTTGAAATCAGAATTTCCATGCATAGTGAAGAGGGAATTCCAGCTCTTTGCCAATAGCTGACCCTGTAGCAAAAATGAGATTTAGAACTTTTTTACACTTGCATCTAACTATGGCAGGAACATGGTACACCAAAGTCTTTTTTTCTGCCATTTTTGATGATGTGACTTTCATCTGGTGGCTGAGGCGTCATTAAGTTTTCCTGAATTGTTTCTGTGTGACAGGAGTATTTTCTATTATAACCCAAGTCTTGTATTTTTGTTGTGTTCCAATTAGGCACATTTAAGCAAAATTTCTTTTGGGGCCATGGCCAGGTTATCCTTAATGAAGGGAGTTGTCCCTCTTTTACTGGCTAGTTTAGACAAGTGGGCCTCTGTGTCTCTGAGCATTCCCCTCTGGGAGCCTTCTGGTCTGGTTAAGAGAGGCAACATTTTTAAAAACCAGTTTGTCTCACATTATCTTCCAATTCTCTAAAGTTTGAGATTGGAGAGGGAACGTCTTAAGTAATGAGGGGCAGGTTCTGTGACATGGGACTGCATAATACAGCAAGAAAATTCCTTCCTGCTTCACACACAAACCCTCCCCATCAGCCTGTCATCTGCTAGGCAGCTACTTTCAAGTATGGATTTATTTCTTTTTGAAAGAGTGGAAATCTTATTTAAAAATGAACTGATCCAGCAGGCAGTGGGATGGAGAGATATTGAATTATGAAGCAGGAGAGAAGCTACGAAAAATTCCCTGCCTCTGCAGCACACAGAAAACAATATTGCTGTTTTGAAAATCGATCCAAAAAAAGCTGATAGGTACTGTGCTTCTCTTTTCCCAATACTGTACAAGTCTTGCTACTAAAATGCTAGGTGACACCTTGCTGATGATAGAGCAGTGATAGTGAACCTATGACAGGTGTATCAAAGATAATACTCCACAACGTTTTGGGTGACTTGCCAATATTCATCAACACCTGACAATAATTATTCTTGAAAGCATGCCCCATTCTCACTTGATTTTTGGAGGCTGTGTAGGCTGTGTGAAAATAGGGTGTGCTGTTGTGCCAACTCCAGAGCGTCTGAAAACCGGGCAAGAATAGGATGTGATTTTGCATGGTTTTCAGAGGCTGCAGAGGCCTGGAAGAGCTTTCTCTGGAGCCACTTCTGGAACAAAGACACTGTGTGACCCAGAGCTGCTTCAGGTGGGCTGCAGCGGTCTGTCAAGAGAAAGAGAACAGTGCCTGAAGATAAGTGGCACACAGCAGATCATGGGGATCACACACGATTGGACTGAATTTTTAAAAAAGAAATTATATGTAAATAATTGCTTTTCTTTTGTCTTTTTTGTGTGTGAGACATGCCAGCAGAGTCAAGTTTAGAACTTCCCAAATTTTTGATATGCTGAGCCGAAATGCCCAACAACATTATGATGGAATCAGGAACTGGAATCTGCCTTGCTTTTATTGGCTCTTTAGGATGCTGTAAGCACAGCCATTCTATTTTGATTGTGGAGGCCATTACCCCACGCAGCTGTTCTGTCTGGATCAGTTGAGAGGGTGGGTATCTGCCATGTACCAAGAGCCTGTGAGTTCTAGCCGTGCCATAGGCAGAAAGCTATCCGGGTGAGTTTGGACTAGTTAATATCTCTCAGCTCAACCCATGTGACAAGGTTGTTATAGAGAAAATAGGAGATAAGAGTACTAAGTATATGTTAAGTATGTTTAATTGGGCCATAGTGTTTTGTATTTCTTTATGTTTTTAATTTATATAGTTTTATTAAATATGATCGTAAGCTGTCCAGAATTACTTTGAGGTAAGATGGGTGCCCTATAAATTAAATAAACAATAAGTAAGTAAGTAAATAAATAAATATATTCACCATCTTAATTTCACTAAATATATTAAAAATCTCTACTACTAAAAATAATACTTTTCTGCCAATTCAGGCAGAATACATATTAATATGGCCATGAGAAAGATACTTTATTTCAAAGATTAGATTAGATTAAATTAAATAAAACTTTATTTCAAAGTTTTGTTTATATAGTTAAGGAACTTTGCAACAGCTGTTTTTGACATTTCATGTACAAATAGAATTAAATTTCCAATAATTTCCATTTGGAAACCAGGCACTGGACTTAGTTGGGCAACACAAACCAATCTTGATCTGCCTGCTTCTCCATAGTCCTATCCAAGAAGGAGGTACTGACACAAGAGCCAATAAGAATCTGTTACTAACCTTCAGGTTAACAAGTGGCAAATTCCTGTCTGTTCTCTTCACAACTGAGATAAGGCTTTGTGTATTTCCGGATAGGAAGGCTCGGAAAGTTCCTTGCAGATTTGCCTGTTGGGCCTGCCGATGGCACTGTAGGTCCACTCCACTAATCCCTCCCATATTACCAGTCAAAGGGAAGTTTAGTGCTACTAGGCGGAGCTGGAAAGTGAAAGAAATCCAGATAAGTATCACACATGGCATTGAAGTAGAATCTAATTCAACAGAATGCCCATCAAGTTTTATTCCTTATCTTAAAAGACATGTTTGCATTTTAGCATTGAACCCAAGTTCAATCATACAACCAAACAAGAACCCAAGGGGATGATAATTAAACATTCACAATTTATCGCACACATCAAATCTAGTGTTCCCAAGTATTCTTGGGAAATCATGACAATTAAATGAAATCCATATATGGCAGGTTTATATTTTCTGTGCTGCTACATTCAATGACTCATTTTTTTTAAAAAAAAATCAAGACTATAGCTCTAAAGATAAATATGAAGGGTATACAAATATCTTTATTTACCCACTATTCATTTAGATAATTTCATCTGCAATCAGATATTATAATAAACATTTAACTCCCTTGGCTTTATTGATCTGAGCCTCATAGGAAGGGCAACAAAGGTAATTAGGCTACATAAACTTTATCCAAAATGAAAGTCCCCAAATATATATTGACATTTCTAAAATTTTGTAGTTAACCTGCTAGCTAGAAATGTGGGTGGGGTGGGGTACATTCTTAATACTTCTAAAGTGCACTCAGTTGAAAACATTTTAAACAATGGTGGGATTCAAATTTTTTTACTACAGGTTGTGTGGGCATGGCTTGGTGGGCATGGCAGGGGAAGGATACTGTTAAAATCTCCAGTCAGAGGTAGTATTTGCAGATTCTACGAACTACTCAAAATTTCTGCTACCGGTTCTTTAGAACTGGTCAGAACCTGCTGAATACCACCTCTGATTTTAAACTTTTCTGCTTTTCTGAATGGGCTATGATTGCTTGTTTTTGGAAATTGCTTGTTGTCCTATAACAAAAAACCAATTTGAATTGTGTCATTAGTTAAGATTGTTTGTCTCAGAAGATATATGAGGTTTTTTTTTAAATATTGTGCCAATGATTTGTCTTGTTGAACTTACTGAAGGAATCCTCTGGGGGATGCTTGTTGGTACAATTGTCGGAATTGTTACGTTTCTTTCATCAAGCTGAAACCAGAGAAAAGGATTATTATATTATTCTGTATATGGAAGATTTATAGACGTTTTGATCAATTCTTCATAATAAGATGTGAACCCAAGACCCACCCAATCAAGTAGCCTTTAATTTTTTTCACTGTTCACTGCGGTTGTCAGAGAAAGCAATAGCAAGAAGGGGCAGAAGCTAAATATCACTTTGCTTAGTCTGTCACACTTTAGCATCACTGCCATGGATACTCACTATTACATTGGATAACAATAAAATAAATCAAAATAATTTATTTATTTTCTGTTTGAGAAAGAAAATGCTGGGGCAGCAAGAATAATGATTCAGCACCCAATGAGATTGATAGTAAAAAGTCCTTCTATCACTGGATCAATCTCCTTTAATTTATATCTGCTCACTTTAAATAGAAAATCACATTAATTTTAACAGCACACATGTTTTTAATGGCCATCTATTATTTGCAGCATTTCTTTGGCATGCCATTCAATATCCCACATATTAAAACAAATTGTAGGTTGTACTGGGAAACCTTACTGAGCCTTTATATTAAAAAGGCTGTTGCAGGAGTTGGTATTACAAAATGCTAACCATTTTGGTCATATTTATTGTATTATAAATAGGAAATGAAATTATCCCAGGAAAATAAAATACAGTTTGTAGATACCTTCAACATGTGCAGCTATCTAGTAAAGAAACAAAAAGATGTTCACTGATTTTTTTTGTTCAAGTTTTTCAATCCAAGGAATTAGAATATTCAGTGTTATTTTTTCAACACTTCATGAAATGTTACAATCACAAATTAAATATACAAATATGACACATACAATATATTTCAAAAACACATTTCTTAGGTTTTGGTTTTGTCAGTGCATCATATAGTGCCAATAAAGTGACTTATTTGATTCTGGCTGAGGTTGTCTGGATTTTTCAATTCATAATTCAAAATTGTGAATTTTAATTTTTTAATTTTTGATGTATGTTGCCTGCAGTCATTGTGTATGAGTTGGATGGTTAGGGTTAGGGTATAAGCATGTTTAAAAAATAAGTAAGTGTGTGTGTGTATATCTCTGTCTCCCTCCCTCCTTCTCTCCTACCCTCCCTGTCTCTCTCTCTTTCTCTCTCTAAAATTTCTTACCTGCCATTCAATTCTTTTCTCAGTACTCAGCTCTGAGAATAAGAATATCTAGAGCAATGATGGCTAATCTTTTCGGCACTGAGTGCCCAAAGCACATGCACATGTGCACATCCCCAAAATGCAATAGACGTGCATCCCTTAGACATGCGCACACATCCCCATGCAGACCCCCCCACATGCACCCTGCTCCCCACGCATGCATGGCAGAGACCCGAAGACCAGCTGGCCAGCGGGAGGAGTGTGCGCTCATGCCTGGCAGAGCTGAGCTGGGACGATGGCTTGCATGCCCACATGGCCTGCATGCCACCTCTGGCACGTGTACCATAGGTTCACCATCACAGATCTAGAGGATAATATGGAAGTGGCAGCAGCTCAGACATTGTTGGATCTTAAGGAGAACTGAATAGCTATCTTGAAGGATTTTATTAAATGTATGTGATCCTTCAATAAATCAGAACACAAGCTCCAACTTACAGAATTGTATCCCATAATCTCATGATTTATTATTATTTTTACTGAAAATATTGTATAATATAACCCAAGGCAATGTTTCTTCAAAACAATTTACAAAGTCATGTTTTAAGATAAACTAACTACAAAAATCACACAGTAAATATTTGCATACATTCCTTTACCATTATCAAATTTTATTCTCAAAAATGTCATCTAAATCAGTGATCGCCAACCAGTGGGCCGAGGACCACTGGTGGTCTGTGAGAAAATTTTGGTGGTCCATAGAGAAATGTCCCCCCTAAACCAATTAATCCAGGCTGTATGGGAACACAAGGCTGCGCCGCCCACATGGCCTGCCCGCCCGCTGGCCCTAATCCTTTGGCTGAGGGCAAACCTTACCTTGAGTAGAGCCATGCGTGCTGGAACTGGAAGGTAAGACCAGTGACGGGGGAGGAAAATCTGCCCCGGGGTGGCTTTCTGATGGTGAGAAAGTTGGTCCCATATTCCAGAGCTACAGTAGTCACAAGATTGGCCCTTTGGTCATCCTGGAGTAGCTCCTCCAGTCCATGGCAGGCTGGTGCATCCGGGTGGAGAAGCAGCTGCTCTAGGATGACCAAAGGGCCAGTCCTGTGACTACTGCAGCTCTGGAATATGGAACCAACTTTCTCACCATCAGCAAGCCACTGTCAGTCAAAATTCATATTAGTGGTCTGCGGGATTTTAAATTAAAATTTTGGTCCCTGAAGTCCAAAAGATTGGCGACCCCTGATCTAAATGGCCTTGTACAAAGATTGCAAGACATTTTTCACCATCATTATACCATAGCAAACTCCTTAAATACAGTACCAATTTAACAATACTATTGTGCAAGCACTGACATGGCATAAAATGCTGGAAAAAATTATCACCTGATTATTTTCCATAGGCACCAAAGGGTCATCAGCTGCAAATAGAAGTGCAGAATCCTCCATCTAGTCAAGGAAACACATACAATACAGGAAAAGAAGTATGAAATTTAGCAGCCTTGCCACATAGTTCAAATAAGCAAGCCAAGATTCATCATGAAAATCCAACAACTGATAAATTCAGTAGTTAATCTGCCTTGGGGAAAAAATTAAAGCAGTGCTTTCCAATTTATATTATAGAACATTAGAAGTCAGCTATATTAGCTTAAATAGCTATCTAGTCCAGTTTTCTGTAATCCACAATTCTAACCAGATATCTAAATAAGAAAGAAAGCAAGTCAATAATGTAACTCCATAATCTTTTAAAACCAGCACCAAATTCTACTCTAATTAAAGGGATTATTAACAATGGCTCCTACCAGAATTTTTTTCCATCCTTTAGGGGTCTTGAAGAAAGCTTCAGCCTCTTCAGTGATGTAGACCAAACTGCCTTCAGGAATGGAGGAAGCAGATTTCAACATGAGTTCTTTTGAACCGAAGGTCCAAGTGGGATGCTGAAAGGAAAGCAGAAAAATATATACTCACATCTCTTTTAATAAAAAAATGTCACTGGAGCATATTTAGCTGTAGTGGGAAAGATTTGTAAACATTTTTGGATAAGCATTTTGGATTGATGTTTGGTAGTTCCTAAAATTTACAACAGCTGTCCCATTTGCAAACATTATTGCAAGTACCACCTTGGTCAGCTGTAGATTTCTTTTAGAGAAAATCATTATTTTGTACTAAAGACAATATAAGCCCCATATATCTATGTAGTTTAATCCAAAAGAATGGATTAAAAAAAGTATATGGCATTAGCTGTTAGCTCTGATTGGTCTACGTTAGTTCAGAAACTTGCTGAATCTATTTGTCTTAAATGCATAGTACAAAGACTATTCATTTGCCCATCTCTGCCCTTACTTTGGAAGAGAAATCAAAATGGAGAAACTTGTAGTAATAACACACCTTATATCCATTCTGGCTTTTGTCAGGAGAATCCTTCATAGGTGGTTCTATATCTGTGGAAGAAAAACAAGTTTGAATGAATATGCCCTCCTTTCCCAGAATATAAATATTTTCCTCTATACGAACTACGAATTTGCTTCCTTCCTACCCTGCAGATGCCAAACATGTCCTAAACACTAAATTCATGCCAAACTAGAACAGAAGATGGTGATGCATGGGCAGAAAGTACTTCAGGTTTCTCTACAAATGAAGGATAGCAACATTTCCTTTTAACGTCCTGCCAAAGCCACATCAGGTTGCCCTGTTTTGCACTTATGTTCTATTTTTCTGTTGTACAGGTAATCCTCAACTTACAGCCTCAGCTTGGAGTGGAGTAATCATCACCAAGCAGTGCAGTGATTGCATCTGATATCACGGCCTATCTGTTGTAATTAAGCAAATTACCATAGTCATTAAACGAGACATCAGATGACTGTGACTTTCAATCTTCTGGCTCTCCCATTGACTTTGCTTGTCAGAAGCCAATTGGGAAGGTTGCAGATGGTGGTCACATGACTGTAGGGTACTGTAACAATTGCAAGTGTGTGACAATTGATAAGCACCTGAATTACAATCACATGGCTGAGGGGATACTGAGATGGTCATAAATATGAGGACTGTTCGGAAGTCACTTTTTTCAATGCTATCATAATAAATTAAACAGTTACTAAATAAGTCAAGGACTACCTATAAACTTGACAATTTAGCTAGGAACCATAGCTATGGTAGTCAGAGAAAACATCAAATCGATCAGTCCTAAAGATTGCAGGATTGATAAATTGCCAACAGATTAGAAAAAACTAAGGAATTCATGCATGGCGTTTGCACAATTAAAAAAAAGGATGCATTTTTGTTCCAAATACAAAAAGGGATAAATAATACCTGAATCAAAACATGGATCCTGGTTCACCTGAAAGGAATAAGAACAGAGTCAGATGCTATGTCATGGGGAAATGCTCTAATTTTAATTAATCCTAATTTTGAAAGATTAAAAACACATCTTTTTTTCCACAAAACTTTTAATAGTTTATTATACTGATTTTATATATTTATTTTAATATATTAATTTGTTTGTATTTTTATTGTAAATTGCCTAAACTAATAATAAGCCGAAAGGTGAGATATACTTTCAGTAATGAACAACTAAAGATATTAGTCAAGAGACACACACAGACACATGCACACACACACACACACACACACACACACACACGTTTGTAACAATACTTTTTCAGTTTTCAGTGCAGGGTTGGAACTATTGATTAGTTTGCTTTTTCCAAATTGAGCAAGAGGTTATTTAACCTGATTTTGTCCCTTGTATCCAGGTAGTTTCTTGGAATTTAATCAGCAGAATTAATTTTTACAAAGAACCAGCCTTCTTATTTATTTTGGCTGTTGTAACTTTGTTTCACTTGCAAAATGGAGTTTAAAGATACGTTTTATGTAAATGCCACTTCTATCTCCAAGGAATCCTGGGGCAGCAAGGAAAATCCCATGCCATCCCATGCCGATCATAATTCAAGGTACTGCAAGTGTTGTAAAAGTCAACTGAGAAATGGTATGAGACTTCTGACAGCAGGATTGTTGGGCAACCAACTAGTTTGGCACAGCAATAGGAAGGCATACTTTTTCTTTTGCCATATCTTGTTTTTTGCTAAATTTTTCTCTATCCTCCCAAGTAGCTCCTTGCTCAAATTGGTGAAAGATACTTGGCAGAAGAGAATTGTCAGTTGACATGACTTTAGGATAACTTCAAAGTAAGATTTATATTGTGCATGGATAATTATCCATGGGATTGGAATGAGAGTACAGACAATATTACTTTGTCTTGTCACAGAAAACTCTTTACGGAGAGGCCACATGGAAGAACTGCTCACTATCTTTTGGATAGGTAGGACTATTTTTCCATCTACAAGCATCTCAATGCCATGTCAAAGCTGCCACCTCTAGATCAACTGCTGTTGCTTGAGAGTTCTGTGCAGAGCATCTTCTTATTGGTTGTCTCTCAAATAGCATAGGGCTTCTTTATATAATGGGGAACTGCGGAGTACCTGACTTTGCATGATGTGACTATAAAGAGGGAATCTTATGACTTAGTCAACTCACCGGCTGCTTGCAATGTGGCCTGGGTCGGACTGGGTATACTCTCTGGAAGGATATTATAAAGCATACAGATAAAGAGGAAGATGTTTTTGCTCTCCCCACTCTGTCACCCCCCCCCCCATTTCCTTTTCTGAACAAGAAAGACATTCCCATTACCTAAAGTATTAACTAACTTCCTATTTCATTTCAACTTTGATTTTGAACTAGTATGAGTTTAGTTATTCTGATGTGGTCTGAGCAATAAGGGGTGTTTTTTTTTGGCCTTTTAAATATCACTTAACCACTTAAGGAGAATGATAATCTATTTTTTGTTTTATTCATAAAGATCAATGCCATCAGATAGGGGTTCAAATCCTCAAAGGCAAAAAAGTTTTTGGCTAATCCTATTATTCATCCTTCATGGGATTAGTCTCCTCCTATTAATGGTACCACTTGATCCCTAAACTGGATAATAAACATGGATTCCATAGCGAGTGAAAACAGAAATAAAAGAGCTAAGAGCAGTCAAAGAAGGGGTATTTCTTCGTCCTTATTCACTGCTTATGTGCCATAATTGTCACCAGTTTCAAAAAAGGCCAGTGTTCCTTAACAGCAACCAACAGTAATTATGCACAACATTTACACAAAATATCTAAAAAGCTGGATTTCTAGTTTTTAAAATAACAGAGTTGGAAGGGACCATGGAGGCCCAACCCTCTGCTCAAGCAGGAAACCTTATACCATTTCAGCAAATAGTTGTTCAATCTCTTCTTTAAAACCTCCAACGTTGCACAACTTCTGGAGGCAAATCATTCCACTGATTCCTTTCCATAAAATGCTTGATTTCCCTTCTGCCTGTAATACTATGGCATATGATGAGTGGGCTCACGTTGGTGTGTAATTGTTCTGCCTTGAGAAACGATCCCCATAGTAGAGTGTTTCTCAACCTCAGAACTTTAAGATATGTGGACTTCTATTCTCCAGCATACTGGCCGGGGAATTCAGGAAGTTGAAGTCCACACATTGTAAAATTCAGGAACACTGCCACATTACAGCGTATTCTATAGTCATCTAACTATTATGAGTTAGTAGCACAAAATAGTAGCGATGGGACAAGCTTTTATTGCCTCATTGGTAGCTGAGATTCTATGACACTAGAAGATATTATAAGGATCCTGCTTTATTCACAGAACTTTACAATCTTTCAGGTATCCTGTGTTTGCAATCCAGTCCTGCAACATACCATCGTTCTATATCGGAGAAAATCCATCAAAAAGGAAAAGATAAAATAATGGAGTGTTGGCAGAATTAAATAGGAGAATTAACTTACATTTATATAAAGTACACCGGGTGGGCCTGGAGGGCCTGGAGGGCCAGGGTTTCCTGGGAGGCCTGGACGTCCCTAGAAGAGATAGAAGTATTATTTTGAAATTAAGTTTTGCAGAGATGGATAATTTCCTGCAAGTAATTCCTATGTGTGAATGAATTTTATGTGGCAGAGCCATAGATACTAATGTTCTACCACAATGTAAATTGTAGAAGCATTCTGCATATACAATATGAGAGCATGCATGGCTCATTCAGACATGGAATTTTCTTTGAGGAAAAAGTTAGGATGGGATTTAAGACATTCCAAAGTCCAAAAAACAAGACATATTTTTTACGGGATCAAACTGAAACAAAACAAGGAATTTTGCAGATAATGATAACTTGGATGTGGCTTACTTGGTTGGGACCATATGTCTCTAGATCTCCTTTGAATTTCTGGAAGAGAGAGAGAAAAGGAAGCAAAATGCCTAATCATCTATACTGAAATATTGCATCCATCTACACTATATTCACTTAAACTATTCATTAAAATATTTTAATATCGATGGAAAAAATTCTAACTTACAAATATATAAGTAGTCCTCGACTTACAATCTTTCATTTAGTGACCATTTAAAGTTATAGCAGCACTGAAAAAAGTGACTTATCCCCACTTACAACCATTGTGGCATCTTCATGGTCACATGATCAAAATTTAGATGGTTGGCAACTGGTTGGTATTTATAATAGTTGCAGTGTCCTGGGGGTCATGTGACCCCTTTTTACGGCTTTCTGACAAGCAACATCAATGTGGAAGCCGGGTTTATTTAACAACTGTGTTACTAACTTACCAATGGCAGTGATTCACTTAACAACTGTGGCAAGAGAAGTCATAAAATGGGGCAAAGGTCACTGGAGGGCATAAGTCAAGGACTACCTGTATAGAGGTGTTTTTTCCTCTTGAAATGGATGTCTATGGGCAACCAAAGAGCTTTAAATTCACTTTATAATTAGAAGAGAGTCACTTGAATTGAGAGAAGCAGGAAAAGGGAAAACATGCTAACTGTTTCTAGTTAGGACAGTGTAGCTGTGAGAAGTCTACATTAAAAAAACTCTTGGAGAATTTAATGCAGTTTGCAGAGTTTTTTTATCTGTGCAACAATATCTGCTTGTCTCCGTTATGTCCCAGTTTTGGTATTTGTAAATGGAGCAAATAATGAAGTGACCCACAAAAACCTAGAGAGTTCTTTCCTCTAAGAAAAATCAAATTATATTATAGCTTTGGGCTTCTCTCCATGAGGTAAAGTGGATAATTTGCCAAGCCCGTCTTGGAATGAAGCCTCTGGCCAGCAGTTCTCCAGATTTCCCTGGACTGATATTTCAGAATGGGAGGAAGGGAGAAAAAGTTATGTCGGGGGCGTGCATAAGCGCACCATCGTGCCTACCGTCCCTGTCCTATTGTTTCTCTTATTCTTCTTTTATTTTTCTTATATGTACCCATTTCATGTATTCACAACTATGTATACACTTATACTTATTATCTTGTAAACAATTGACAAATCAAATAAATAAATAAATAAATAAATAGTTAGATCTACTCTCCCAGACCAATAATGAAACAGGGATTACACGTCTCTTTAACATACCTTTTGGTAGATGAAAGCTACCCAAGAATCAATGTCATTTCTTGCATCCTTGCCACATGTGCTACATTCCTGTGGGAAAATAAGCCTTTTTAAGCCTTCTAGAGAATTTAAAAGTAAAATAAAAATAATTTCTTTTCCATCAATGAGCCTTGGAGGATGGGATATTTTTTTCTATGACTACGCACCATTTTTCCTGGTTCTCCTTTTTCACCCTGCAAATAAATCAAGTAAACAAAAAAAAAAATCAGGTAGTACTAGTAGGATTTCAAATTCTTGGTTTTGCCTTCTTGAAAGCAAGCTTATAAATAAGCAAGATAGGAAAGCTGTATTTGGGGGAAGAAGAACTGATCTTTTCACTACAATTGACATTTGTGGTAGTAGAGACTCTTGACATGGATTTCATTTTAAAAGCTGGAATGCATGTAGATTTTTGCTATTGTAGTTGTCTCCCTATGAATCCTTACCTTTAAGAAGTTATGATCATTATTCTTATTAGTTCAGTGAATATTTCTCCGTGGTAAAGGCTCATTTTAACTCTGAGGGTTTCAAACAATGCTTGTTATACCATCATTGCTATTTTGCTGTAAATTGGTAGTAGCATTGAAATAGACTTTCTATATGAATAGACAAAGGGAGGCATTCTAGATGTGCTTGAATGAAAGTTCCCAGCAGCTCCAGCCAGCTAGGCCAGTGAGGAAGGATGCTGAGAACTGCAATATCTGAATTGCCTTGGATTGTCTATTTTTCAATGCCATCTATCTATGGTTGTTGAATTTGTCCTGGACAAGAAAAAAAACAACCGAATTTGATTAAAATTAACAGGGTTTCTCTTCATATGTTCAATCACATAACAACTATAATTCGTTATAACTAATGGTTTAAGGAAGGTTTCAGAGAGTTACAAGGTAATCTTCAGCTTACAACCATAATGGAACCTATCCATCAAGATCGTCAAAGTGACCTTCCAACTTTACCTCTTTTTTTTTGTGTGGCAGTTCTTAAGAGAACATGGTAAAGTGACTGCTGCAGTCTTTAAACAAACACTGCAGTCATTAAGTGAACTAATAGTTTGTTATGAGAACGGTTTTGCTGACAAGTAAATGGCAAATCTGTTGTAAAACATAGTCATATGACATAAGGATGCTGCAAAGTGCTGTAAATACAGCCTGGTTGCTGAGTACCAAAGTTTGATTATGTAACTGTGAGGTTTTGTGTATGTGTGTGTGTCCTGATTGTCAGAACTTCAAATCTAGCCCCAAGTAGGTAGGCCTGTTGTAACTTTGAACAGTTGCAAAGTGACCAGTTGTAAGTTGAGAACTACAAATGCTGAAACTTTAAAGTGTTATTGTCAGGGGTGGGCTTCATAATTGTTAGCAAAAGCTTCTCTGCCCGGTTGCTGGGTGTGTGTGGCCATGGTGGGCGTGGCCTCCTGCATCATGGTGGGGGGGGGGCATTTTTGCCCTCCCGGGCTCTGGAGACTTTCCTCAAGGCTCCAGGAGGGTGAAAACGACCTTCCCAGGCTCCGGAGGCTCTCTGTAAGCCAGAAATGGGCCCATTTCCAGCCTTCCCAAACTTCCAGGAGGCCCGTTTTCCACCTTCCCCGAGCCTCCATGCCCGCCCTGCACTTAAACGGGCCAAAATGGGCCATATGGGGATGTGGGAGGGGCGAGGGAGGGTGAGGGGGGCCAGCCAGAAGTGGGATTTGGTGGCTCTACGAACTGCACAGAATCTTAGCTAGGGACTCTGGTTATTGTATATACACTGCTGGGATTGCAGCTTGTATTCCTGTACTCTAGGACAGCGGTTGCCAACCGGTGGGCTATGGCCCACTGGTGGGCTGTGAGAAAATTTTGGTGGGCCACAGAGAAATCTCACCCCCAGAGCACCCCGCAAAGTAATTAATCCATGCTATACAGAAACACAAGGTTGTGCCGCCCACATGGCCCACAGGAATCCTCCCTGCCCAGTCACTCCTTACCTGCCAACTAAATTGCTATTTTTCCTTTTTCCAACCATCAGGGGTTCTGCTGTGCCAGGAAATTTAGATTACCTAGGTTGGATTTCTTGCTTTTTAGCTAGTCTTTAGATCTTCAGCTCTGCTTTTAAGCACAGCCGAACCTCCCTTAGGACTGAAGGTTCTATTATTCAGTGCAGACTCACAGCAAATTTGAGAGACTGAGCTAGCCAATGGCAGATAGATAGATCACTGAATGAATCTATGAGCAACTCAATCTGCCTGCCTGCTTTGCCTGATTTTGGGTAAAAGTTGCTCTTTTTTTAATAAAAAATTCAATATTTACATACATGGTGTGTTGTGAGTTAATTTTGTGAGTTTGCTTGCTAGCAAATTTTATGAGTTTGCTTGCAAGCAAATTTTATGTGACAGACTGAGCTTGCCAATGGCAGATAGATAGATTTCTGAATGAATCTGTGATTCTGTGAGCAACTCAATCTGCCTGCCTGCTTTGCCTGATTTTGGGTAAAAGTTGCTCTTTTTTATAAAAAAACCCCAATATTTATATAAATATTTATAATATTTACATACAAGCCATGCCCAGCCACATGACTACCAAACCACACCCACAAATTAGGCTATGCCCACAGAACCGGTTAGTGGTCTCTGGGATTTAAAATTATGAATTTGGTGGTCCCTGAGGCCCAAAAGGTTGGCGACCCCTGCTCTAGGAAGGTTGAATCAAATGCACACGTTATGACTTGCAGGCCAGCTAGAAGGACAGGCAGCATCCATAGGATTTGGTTAAGACCATGACTTACCTTAGGACCAGGAGGGCCTTGAACACAGGCTTTAGAATTATACTAGAAAGAACAAGAGAAGGGATCAGTGCAGCATCATAGGAATAACCCCAATCTATTATCAGTGTATGTAGATAACAACACTTTTGATCTTTCTTATGTGTATACTTGTCAGAATGCTGTGCTTATGGCTGGAGACAAAACAAATAAACCATGTCAGACAATGAAGAATTATCCTGACTATATTCATGTATTCCAAAAGAAGCTTTTGCTCTCCTGTCCAGGAATAAGATGTTTTTTCTTTTGGCATTCATTAAAGGAATGAACAGTGGAAGGCAAATAACAAACATAATTTTGAATCGTGAATTAGTGTAAATTAAAAAAAATAAAACCTAAAAAACTCATTTGACTTTTTGGATCTTTCCTTTAACCCACAATAAAAGTATAAAATTATTTTAACTGTATAATATTCTGTTCTTCTGGATATCATAGTGACACTGGAATATCAATAAAATAATCACAGCTGGAAAGTTGGACTTTTTGTGTTTGTATTTCTTTGGGAAAGGATAAAGAATCCATTTGGCTTCTTAAATTTCCCTCCAATGGGAAAATCACCTTGATTCTTTGGATTTTCAGTCTTTTAAAGACCAACACTTCAGGTGATTAGTTTGTCCCTTTAATCTTCGCCAATATAACCCCCCACACACAAAAAAGTTTGACCATTTATGCCCTTCCTATTCTGGGGAGCGAGGCTTTGGCGATTGCAAATAAGAGGATGGGGCACAAGTGGCTTACAGGCTGTGAGCACCCCACCCTGTCTCCAAAATAAATAAGGCGTTTGTATGTTTTCAGGTTTATAACTTATAAAAATGGAATAAAGGTATACATTTTTTGCTTCTAGATGCCAGCTCATAGCGGCCGTGACAATGGAAATACTTTACATGGAGAACAAATGGGATGTTCTGTGCTAGCTGGAAGCCGAGTTGCTTCTACTCACCTGATTTGCTTCATTATCACCAGGTAAGCCAGGAGGACCTGCAGGCCCAGGTGGACCCTGAGCTCCCTTTTCTCCAGTCTGTCCTGGTTTGCCTGGCAACCCAGGCTCACCACGGTCTCCTTTCTCCCCCTGAAAGGATTTAATATCCACAAATCAGCATAGCAAGTAAAAAACAAACAAACAAATAAATCTCATGAATTAACAATCAGCTCTAAGCAATTTGCTTCTTTCATAATTATATCTTGATGATCAATAATTTTATTTTGTTTTTTTTAATCAACTCATTCTTCCACTCACATATCCCCCCAAATTCTCATAGTAAAGGCAACGGTTACCTTTGGTCCATTCTGTCCGGGAGATCCATTTATTCCTGGAGGACCTTCTGGTCCAGGGAAGCCTGGTAATCCTGGTGACCCAATCTGGCCTGGAATTCCTGCATGACCTTCAGGGCCGGTGACTCCTGGAGGACCCTCTGACCCCACTGGCCCTGGAATCCCTGTGGCTCCTGTGGCTCCTGGAGGACCAGGTTGTCCTGGAGCCCCTGGAAGCCCTGGAGCCCCCTGCTGGCCTTCATGTCCTGGGAGGCCAGCGGGACCTTGAGGGCCTTCAGGTCCTGGGTATCCTTGGGGTCCTGGATGACCAGATATACCTGGTGGACCAGGAGGCCCTTCTACAAAACTGACTCTCTAGAAAAACACGAAGATGACAGAGAAACAGTTGGAGAGCAGAAAAGGCTAATAGATTCAAGAGGTACAATAGTCACAAGTGATATTGCTTATCTGTTAAACCTGTCCTCGTATAAAGTACATATGTGAACCTCAAGTCATACAGTAGTAAATTAGATGCCTTTCAAACTTATTAAGACATCAGCCAGTTTCATTTATCCATTGATAATTTTTGTGTGATTTTGTTGTCAGCACATTCAACTATGTAATGAACAAAGTATTTAATAAGAATATTTCATTCATTCAGATCTAGGATGTCTTATTTTTGTGTTCCCTTTATTTTTTTGAGCAGTGTATATAGGCTGATAAGGAAGTCAAAGGGTAAAAAGGTTACTTAGTATGGAGGGAGAGGCAGCACAGAACGTTTTTTGGCTTAGAATTGTGCCTCTTCTTTCTACCTTAACATCCATATATATTGTTGTGGTTTAATGAAGTTTTGATTTCACCATAGTGGTTAAAATAATCTATTCTTCCTTTCCTCAATTTAGGCTTTTTGAAGGAACACTGAATTGTGGTTTAAGACTGGTCATTTTTCTTTTTTACACTCTAGTCTACAACAAACAAAATCTTAACCTCTTTGCCTCTTCCAACTTTGCAGTGAATTTGGAGGCAACAAATGGATTCACCACAGGGATGAGATTCAAATTTTTTAACAACCGGTTCTGTAGGCGTGGCTAGGTGGGCATGGCCATGTGATTGGGTAGGCATGGCTCTTTTTGAAGCAGCAAACACCCCCCCCGCTCCATTTTGGGGCCTTCTGGGCCTCAGGGAAGCCTCCTGGGGGAACATTTTTGCTCCCAGAAGGCTTCCCTGGGGCCCAAGAAGGAAAAAGAGGAGCACTCCCCCAGGCTCTGTTTTGGGGCCTTCTGGGCCTCAGGAAAGCCTCCTGGGGGGGGGGCGTTTTGCTCCCAGAAAGCTTTCCTGGGGCCCAGGAAGGAAAAAAAACAAAGGCTGCCCCCCCCCCTGCAGCATCCCCATGGTCCATTTTGGGGACTTTGGGGCTTTAGGGAAGCCTCCTGGGGATGTTTTTGCTCCCCACCTCCATTTTTTTGCCTTCTTGGGCTTCAGGGAAGCCTCCTGGGCAAAAAAGTAAGACACTAAGGGGAATCCTGGCATAGCTGATTATAGGAACAGCTGATTGTTGGGAGGGGGAAAAAAGGAAATACCTTAAGGAGTGCACTGGGCAGGGAAGAACGCAGTCAGCAATGTCGGGCATGTGCGCAATGTTGCGCATGCGCGATAAGGACTGACTGGTCAGGGTGGGGCAGGCGGAGTGGGGCTGGGCCACGATTTGGCGGTTCTCTGAACTGTGCAGAATCATAACAATTCTATAGTTTTATAGAACCGGTCCGAACCGGTAGAATCCCACCCCTGATTTAGCATTACCAGTTAACTAAAACAAGATCATCCAAAAAAGAAAGCAGGCAAGCAAATAAATCAGATCACATTTTGAATGAACTTGAAGCATTATGTGAATTTGGGATAACAAGGAAAGGTGGATATAGTATCTTTGCTTGGTGAACATAGTATTTTTATATTATTGTAAAGACATTGATATTGCTGTAGTCTATCAACAAATCTCACCTTGTCTTCTCCATCCCTGGTATCAGTGAAGTCTATTACTTTAGGAAGAGTTGAACCTGGGGGACCTGGGGGACCTACTGGTCCTGGTAGTCCCTGAGGTCCTGGAAGGCCAGGATTGCCAGGTTTGGCAGTTGGTCCAATTTTTCCAGTTAGTCCTTTTTGTCCTGGGGGACCCTGGTCACCTTTTGGTCCCTGTGGTAAAAAAAAAAAAGAACTTCAGATAAGAAGAACAGTGCACATTCTGTCAACACGGTGGCAGGGGAATTCTGGGGAATGACATCTTAGAAGATTGAGAAACAGCAGCCTAAAGTATAATCAAAACTATCCCTGTTCAACATGGTGTATTCTGGATGTGTTTGGAAGGCAGATGATGCTTGGAGTTGTTTCTGAGGGATGTCAGGTTGGGGAAACCAGTTCAGATCCTCAAAGCTTCTAATTGCTTTTTTAGCAACTCATACTCCCACTGCATCCTTGGCAGACATTTTGTGCTGTTAACAAATCCACGACAGTAAATCTAACTTAATAACTTCAAGTCATCTCAGCATAAGGAGAAATAATAGCTGAATTCTTGACTAACAAGCAACTTTTAAGGCACAATACTATTGATTTTTTGAATGGTTTGATAGTGTAATTTACAGCAGTAAATAACACAAATAGCTTAGATGTGATTTAGTTTACATTTGGGGAAAGATAAGAGGTGTTTTCTTGTCTTGGGCAGCTTATTCGAGACAGAAAGAAACTTCGAAATATAGACTTAATGCCAGCTAAATTGCAAATGTACCTAGATTTGTTGTTTCCACTAAGGAAAAAATAAATATGTAACATACATACCTTTGGACCAGGTGGACCAGGTATTGCTGGACAGACACACTGTGAAATATTATTAATCTAAGGAAGAGAGAAAAAATAGTTAATGATAAACCATCTCTTTAAAAAGCAAGAAGGGAGACGAGGAATATTGACCTCATGAAAGTACTTCTTTAAATACCTAAACAATTATGTTGATCGAATGGAAAACACAGTTCCTAATTATGTAAGAAAGAATCATGCATAGGTATTGGCAGGTAGCTGTAGTGGCAGGTAGTGATGGCATCAAATTAATTAAACATGCATTGTAACATCAGAGGAAAAGTTCCACTCTTACACTTGAGTTGCAAAATTGCATGCAATTGAATGTAAGAGGCAGACTACAATGCACGGGCTGCCTTTTCTTTCCCTTCTATCTACCTGTGTGGACTCATGTGATCCCTCAGTAATTTCTTAAGTGGGAGGAACTATGAATTAAGTTGGGAGGCTGTCTTAGCCCTTCCTAGTAAAACAAAGTAGTATACTGATCTTGATTGAATTGATGCATCTTTGATAAAGTTTCAAAAATTGTAGGTTGTCACAATGCAGATTACTGAAATCAATACTGTATTCCTTGAAATCCATTTATTTCTATTTTTAGAATCTTTGATTAATGTTCAACTTACTGGTCTTGAAAACCTTAAACCTGAAATTGAGAACCTGAAATTTACTAAATATTGTTGATTTTAACTTACAGCACCTCCAAACTCATGGAGTTATAATGAAGGAGATGATTAAAGGATGATGGGAAATTTAATTGGTTCATCTGCTAGAATACATTCTATCTACAGACAACTTGATGACATTCTCAAACTATAAGAGTTATGTAATACACATTTGGTAATAATCTTAATTTACTGGTGTTACCATAGAATCGCCTGTGATAGTGGATTGCTGAACTGAAGTCATGAGGACTTTTGAGGTTGTCTAGGATAAAAAATCATGGCAATAAGGAAATTAATTTTTAATGTCAGTTAGCTTTAGTCTTCTCATTTCTCACCTAAAATTTCCTACCCAACCCAAATCTTAGCATTTTTTTAGAAAAGAGAAAATCTCAGTAGCTCCAATATTTATAAATAAAATTTTCACTAGTTTGGAATACTATATATGTTTATTGAGAAATAAGTCCCATTAAAGATGATTAAGGGATGATGGGAAATTTAATTGGTTCATCTGCTAGAATACATTCTATCTACAGACAACTTGATGACATTCTCAAACTATAAGAGTTATGTAATACACATTTGGTAATAATCTTAACTTACTGGTGTTACCATAGAATCGCCTGTGGTAGTGGATTGCTGAACTGAAGTCATTAGGCCTTTTGAAGTTGTCTAGGATAAAAAATCATGGCAATAAGGAAATTAATTTTTAATGTCAGTTAGCCTTAGTCTTCTCATTTCTCACCTAAAATTTCCTACCCAACCCAAATCCTAGCATTTTTTTAGAAAAGAGAAAATCTCAGTAGCTCCAATATTTATAAATAAAATTTTAACTAGTTTGGAATACTATATATGTTTATTGAGAAGTAAGTACCATTACATTTTTAAAAAATACCCATTTTCTTAAATACACTTCTTTAGATATTTTCTTCTTGATCCTTCCTTTCAGAGTGGCAGTGATGCCTTCATGGCTCATCTCAAACATACCTGCGTCATTTTAGTGTCCCCAGTGATCATGGATTGGTAATCTGACGTTGTCAAGCTTTTTGAACCTTCCTGAGATACAAGATGGCAATAGTTAGGAGACTTTTTGAATGCATTAGATATTAAATTGCTTCTGTCTTATTTGGACTAGGCATAGTCTTCAGTCAACTAAGTGCAGGTTCTTAATGATGTGGAAAGAAATATATATTTTGTTTCAGAACTTCAGCTAATAGTTTAATTATTTGTTTCTTTTACAACATTCTCATATTTTGGTCTTCTACTTACTGCTGTGGGATAAAACAGCTGTCTTTTTATGCAATTATTAATTAATAGGTTAGTTGCTTTTGCCATCATAAAATTTTATAATGAAAGCCAACAGGAATATAAAGAATCAAATTATTATTAGGGAAGTGCACTTCCTTGGATTTGTTTCAAACAGATGCTCAGAACAGTGCAGGGGGACTTTAAAATCCAGGAAAAGATACTGTTGCTTTAAAGCAGAACAGAGAAGTGTGTGATCTTTTGATAATGATCAGAACTCCATTTTTATATTTGTTTCCAAATTTCCCTACAATGCCTAGTCCCAGTTCCTCTGCCACTGCAGTTAAAGCTGGAAACCATTTGGGGATTTGAGAGGTTTGGCTGTGTTATTAAATGTTACTTGAAAGTGGCATAAAATCCCATCAAACTAAGAAGAAACATTATCTGCCAAACAGCAATGGGTCTTTCAGCCAGGAACCTTGGATCTTTAGGGAAGAGGAGAATGCAGATACAATAAAAAGTTGTGGAGCAGAGGGAGTTTGTCCTCAGTAATATAACACATGGTGTTTTGATAGAACCTACAGTTCTGGGATGAAAGTAAAGTAGACATGACATGTGATTCTCACTTGTTAATCCTTTCCTGTAGACAGAAAAAGACTAAGTTCATGTAAATAGAAACAGCAGGCGAGGTGGTCACTCTGGGAACCCACAATCTCAGATGCCTGGTTGTCCTTCATCCTATTCCTGGTATTTCTTTTCTCAATTGGGGAAGAGATACTTTATGGTGCTTAAAGAGATGAGGAGAGATTGCTGTCATGGGTGAGGTAGGTTGTGACCTCCTGTTGATTTGCCCCTCCGTAGTTGCTGCAACCAGAGGGGATTCTGTGCCTGAGAAAGCTCCCTGCATATGCTAATGATTCTTCAAAGTAACAGAAAGAAGCAGTAATGCTGATTTTTATCAAACTGGAATGAGACCAATCTATGGTTGAAATGGTTATATCTCACATTTTTGAGATATGGGGAAGCCTTTGAGGTGATGCTTGCACATATTTGGATACCAATATTAAGAAATAAGCCTTCTAAATGCACTGGGCAGGCAAAACCCTAAGTTTCCTCAGCAGAACTGATTTCAGGCATGCAGTCTAGGAATTTTTTAGAATCTGCAATGTCCACACTTTGAAAGGGTACTAGATTGTGACAGTAACTGCTGTGATTGGTTCAATTGGCCCATTTTGATGAAGAAATCTAGAACCCAACCCAAAGAATTGGATGTGTCTGCGAGGCATTTCGACAATCTTTCTATGGATTGTTACCTGGACCATTAGGAATTCAGAGCCTTCTTCCATAGCACTGCCCTCAAAGAAGGTTGAAACAGGAAGGTTATCATCAAAAGCGTCTTCCTTTGTTATACTAGATGAAGTTGCCTGGGGAAAAAAAAGAGGAAACTTGCATTCATTTCTGATTCTGAGTATTTGTTTATTGCTTTATATCTAGTCTCTTATAAAAGTGCAAGATAGTATGCCCCTTATAATTTTATCTTTACAACAACCATCTAGCAAGTCCACTGGAAGGTGCATTGTTACCTATTGAGTTTCACTGCAGGGTAGGAATTTCTGATTTTTTTTTTTAATCCTTAATCCCTGTAGAGAGGAGAGGTGAGGGGGGAGGATTTTACCCACTAATTCAGGTCATTCTGCCACAGCACTCAAGGCTTTGTTGAGTCTGACAAGACCTTGAATGTTGATAAGGCACAAGGAAAACGTCAATGTGAAATTGTGCAGAGACAGTGAGAAGGAGCCAGAAACTGTCACGTGCTGTGAGAGAGCTGGCCTTGGGACTTTGGCCTCCATCTCTGCATCTAGAGACGTTCAAATTAGCAGTGGCTGAGTCTCAGGTTTTCATGTGGGATTCAGGCAGAAAATGTGGAAAGCTATGAGGCAGCTGTTACTAAGTAGGAAAGTATTAATCGTGTTGTCTGTAACTGGGGGGGGGGGGCATTTGAATGGTTGCTTCCTTCAAATCATTTGCCACTGCTGCTACTACTATTAGTACTTTTTTGATGTTTAAGGCCACTGAATCAGAAAATCTCAAGATGGCTTCCAGAAGTCCATCACAGTTTGCTCTGTGTTAGAAGAGAAAGAAAAGGAGAAGCAAACAATCCAGGAATGTCCAATCTTGACAATTTGAAGACCTATGTACTTCAACTCCCAGAATTTCCCAGCCAGCATGTTAAAATTTCATAAAATCCAAACAGAAATATGGGAATGTCATCTTAAATCTACTGAAACTATGGTTATGGATATATAGCCAATGGGATGTAATATTGAGCAGCAGGACTGGGAGTTGGAATACCCAGGTTCTAGTCCTCCATTAGACAAGGAAAGCCTTGAGCCTGGGATTCCCTCTTAGCTTTAAAGTGAGTAGGATATTTTTAAAAAATATATACCAAAATAGAGAAAAGGCAATCTATTTCCATATAATAGTGCCAAAAAAACTTTATTGTCGATGATGTAACCAGGAATCACCCATTGTTTTCACTCCCCAACATCCAACTATATAGGATGTTGGGCAACATTACCTGAACCCTGAGGAATTCAGAGTTTAAAATTAGAAAGGCACTGAAAAAAGTGATTTATGACCATTTTTCATGCTTATAAACATTGCAACATGGCCACCTGATCAAAATTCAGATGCTTGACAGCAGGTTCATATTTATGAAGATTGCAGTGTGACCTTCTGACAAGCTAAGTCAATGGGGAAGCCAGTTTCATTTAATGACTGTGTCACTAATTTAACAACTGCAGCCCAATCTACCTTACAGGGTTGTTGTGAGGGAAATGGGAGGAGGAAGAGGTGTTTGATATGTTGGCTGCCTTGAGTTATTTGTAAAAATAATAAAGGTGGGATATAAATACATAAAAAGAAAAAAAGGTATATATGATTTATCAGCACCTATCCAATCTCTAACTATTATGTTTGTAAATACTACAGTTACTGAAGAATATCCAAGCCTGGTTATTTTATTTTATTTATGTGCCACAAGCTGGCACATACTTATACATCTATCCACAATTGCTAAAAGTAGTATATGTAAGAGAAAATAGCACTTTGCTTAAGCAGAGGGCTGGACTAGAAGACCTCTAAGGTCCTTTCTAACCTTGTTATTTCAGTGACAGGCTGAATGTTTTTCCATGTAGAAGGTAGCAGATGCAATTGATGGTCATCTGCTTCTATGATTAGAGTGAACTCACCTCCTCAACTATCAGATGTTAAGAAAGGGCAGGAAGGCTGGCATGAGATACTAGATGAACTGTTATGGGCATTGTATAGTCTGTTCATCTCAGCTAAATTGTTCTTCAGATGAATGGGCAATAGATTTGACTTATCATACAGGTGGGTTGGGAAAAAACGGCATTTTATTTTGCCTCAGGTAACAAAATATATTAAGTGTTCATTTACATAAAAGAATGCTACTAAAACTCTGGAATAGTTGCTTCTCAAAAGGAGGGGCTGGAGTGTCATTGTTCAGGGACATTGGAAATAGATTACTGAGAATTTCCCATGCGCTGGGACCACTACAGTAGTTGAGATAGCTCTGCGAAGTGCAGCCTCCCACTTGTTCTCTGTAGGAAAAAAAAACCAAAACAAGCCCAGGCAGGGAAAGGCGCTCAAAGATGGGAAAATTTTTAGCTGCCCAGGTGTCTTTGAAATATGGCTCTCAGTTGTGATTAGAGATGCTGGGAACTTTTGTTTAGTGAAACCAGAGGATTACAAGTTCACCCATGACCAAAACATACAGTTATGTAGTGGAGGCCATTTTGTGTAGTGTGATGGTTCTGAACTGCTTGAATATTAAGGTACCTCATTTTAATAATTACATGGAATGAGAAAATAACTGTTCTTTCAGATTAATTATTATAGAAGGGTGTGTTTTGATGCATGCACCCCCACTTCTGCTCTTTTTAACATTATCTCACATAACATGTAATTTACAGATTATATAATATGAATAATCACTATATTTTCAAAACTTTTGTTAGCAAGCAAAAGACTTGTAAAAGCTCAGTCAATATGTCTTTTGCTTTACCACCCACCCACCCCCCACACACACTGCCAGGCATATTTTTTGCCCATTCCTCAGGTGATTTATGAATTCTATTCACCATCAACATACACATAAAGATGCATTTAGAGCTGTCATAAGCCTATAATATTCAAGTATTTAAAAATAAAGGTCAATGAAAAGTTATATTTCCTGGGTTTTTGAATGTGCCATGTGTGTTTGAAAGGCAGCAACCTATTTAATTCTGGACAACAAGTTGGTACCTCTGGCTGCCCTTCATTGCAATGTTATTATTCATCTTAGTTGCCACACAACAAATCAATAATCAGTTATCATCTGACCCATACCACACATGATAAATGCTCACCAAATCCAGGATTTGTTCAGTAGTGGGAACTTCTTTTGCAGTTGTATCTGGTGTGTTATGAGGAATGGAACTACTCGGAACTGTAGCCACAGAAAACTGTTTCACATCAGTTTTTGCCTCTGAGAAAGCAAAGGGAAAGGAGATTGGAAACTACACATTTATACTACCAAAACATAAATGCAATTGCTCTGTTCCTGACACTGATTTTCCAAGAGTGAAAGAGAGGGAAAAAAATAGAGAAGACACAATATTAATTACACAAATTATAGAAAGAATTTTATCTTTCTTTCTTGGAGCTCAAAATCAGAGAGGAAGGTAAACTGAAGAGAGAATTGTGTAAAGACATTCACCAACAAAAATGTGAACCTGTCTTATTAATCAACATTATGCTTGTTACAAAGACTGCAGTTTTCTTTTAGTAATTTAGCTGCTGGAACTTTCCCCATGCACAAAACCTTATATAATACTCCATCTCCTTTTATCCCTTTAAATCCAAATTCTGTGAATGAGACACATGAGACTGAAGTCCTGGGAAAGGTGAAGAAAGAGAGCCACTCTGATCTCAGGTAGCCTAATTGCTAAAGCAATCCAGATCAGCCTTTCTCAATTCAACATTTTTCAAATGTGGTCACACAAGCTGGGAATTTCTGCAAATTACAGTTCAAGTACACTTTGAGGAAGGCTGTATTGCCCAACTCAGCGTGGCATCCATGCCCCCCACCTCACATTTGATTTCAAGACATTCTATAGCCCAAATAGTGTACCTTTTAAAACGGGCATTTCTGGATTTTATTTGGTTTTTCAGTTCTTTCCACACAGAAAAAAAAAAAGAGAGAGAGAGAAATGAGCAAGGAAAAGAAACAAGAATAATTCTATCTTTTCTACTTACCTTGGGAAATCATAGCAGGTGTGGTCATAGCCTTCGGATTTGCAAAAAGCCACCAATTGTACTGAGCAACACTAGAGGGAGTTAGCCCCCCTAACAGCAAGACAAGGCAGAGGAAGCCCAATGGCTGGTGTCCCTTAAGAGTCTCCATTGGCCCTGCAGTTGTCTGCAGCTTAGCTGTCTCCACACTAACCTTTGGTACTTGTGATCCAAGTTCATAGTAGCCCAAGGTGCCCGCCCACCAGCCTCTCTCTGCCAATCAGCATCTCATTTTAGAAGACTTGTACTGTGACTAAGTAGTCTTACTCTCTCCTTCCCCCCTCCCCATGCATGACAGAAGAGTAGATTTGCTGTTTTTCCTTACATTCCTTTGCATTTTGAATCGCTATGTGCAGAGGGGATGGGGAAGATTGACATTTAATTAAAAGCACTTATTTTGCTTTTTCAAATCACCCTATTTATTTTACTTCTAACTTGAGTTAATGTAAAGGGCCATGACAGAAACACATGACAGGTAGTACTCAACTTATAACAGTTTGCTTAGAAAAAAGTTACTTATTACCATTTTTCACTTATGACAATTGCAGTATCCCCATAGTCATATGATTTGCATTTGGATGCTTGAGAACTGATTCACATTTATGACTGCAGTGTCCTGGGATCATGGGATCACCTTCTGCAACCTTCTGACAAGTAAAGTCAATGTGGAAACCAGATTCACTTAACATCTGTGTTACTAATTTAACAACTGCAGTTATTCACTTAACAAATGTTAAAATACTGAAGTTTGCTGATGACACAACAGTGATTGGTCTCATTTGAGACAACGACGAATCTGCATACAGACAGAAAGTTATGTAACTTGCCTTGTGGTGTAACTGGAACAATCTGGAATTGAACACACTCAAAACCGTAGAAATGGTGGTAGTCTTTAGAAGAAAACCTCCCACACTACCACCTCTTACAACACTAGACAACACAGTATCAACAGTAGAGACCTTCAAATTTCTAGGTTCTACTCTATCCCAAGACCTAAAATGGACACCTAACATCAAAAACATCATCAAAAAAGCACAACTCAGAAAGCTCAAACTGCCCAAAGAGCTGCTGATCCAGTTCTACAGAGGAATTATTGAGTCTGTCATCTGACCTCTATAACTGTCTGGTTTGGTTCTGCAGCCCAACAGGACAGACACAGACTTCAGAGGATAATTAAGACTGCAGAAAAAACAATTACTACCAACCTGCCTTCAATCTAGGACCTGTATACTGCACGAGTCAAGCAGAGGGCTGTGAAAATATTTACAGACCCCTCACACCCTGGACATAAACTCTTTCAACTCCTTCCCTCAAAACAACGCTATAGAGCACTGCACACCAGAACAACTAGACACAAGGACAGTTTTTCCCCAAAAGCCATCACTCTGCTAAACAAATAATTCCCTCAACACTATTACAAAGTCTGCACTACAATTACTGTTAATCTTTTCATTACTCCTTATCACCCAACCCCTCCCACTTGTGACTGTATGACTGTAACTTTGTTGCTTGTATCCTTATGATTTATATTGACTGTTTCCTAGTATGATTTGATTGCTTATTGTACCCTATGAGGGTACAATAAGTGTTGTACCTTATGATTCTTGATGAATGTATCTTTTCTTTTATGTATATTGAGGGTATTTGCACCAAGACAAATTTCTTGTGTGTCCAACCACACTTGGCCAATAAAGAATTCTATTCTATTCTAAATGTGACAAGGAAGGTCATAAAATGGGGCAAGACTCATTTAATAAATTTCTCACTTAACAACATAAATTTAGGGCTCAGTTGTGGTCATAACTTGAGGATTATCTGTATTGCATTTGAGTTTTTGTTCTTTTATTCCATAACCATGTGCATTGGCCACTTGTGAACGTTTAACCAAAGATTATAACCAAAGATACTATGCATCTAATGAAATGAACTGGAATGGACAAGTCTTTATGATGCTAAAAGATCATTTTTGATGAATTATGTTTAGTGCTGGAGCAATCATTCAAAGCAACCCACTGATTTGGATTCACCAGCTTTCTAAATATTGCAGAACCATAAGTTCCATCACATCCCAAAATTGAATATTCTCATTGGGGCTGACAGCTGCTGTGATTCAGCAGTCTCACAGACATCCCATCCTAGCTGGTCATACAGCAGTTAGATGTCTTTTTTTAAAGCTTTCTCTTTTCTAGCTGATTAAATCTGTTGTACAGAGACAGTTTGGTATAGTGGTTAGAGAACTGGACTATAAATTGGGAGGTCCTAAGTTCTAGCCCCACTTTAGGCCCAAAATCAGCTGGGTGATCTTGGAGCCATTCATTCTTTTTCATCCATAGGAAGGAGACAATGGCAAAACACCTCTGAAATCTTGCCAAAAAAACTGCAGGGACTTACCAGTCAATCCAGACAATCACCTGGAGTCAACAATAAGGCACAAAAATAAATTAAACAACAACAACAAAAATCAGCTGTAGTGGAATTAAAATTTCAAAATGTGGAGCTCTAACCTGAAGTTTAAGAGGACTACGTATTACTTCCTGGATTTAGTGTCTACTATATGTAAATCTTCATGCATCTTGAAATGTTAGTGCATCACGGAAACTTATTGTCTTATATGGATTTAAGGCAATTACATTGGTAATTCTGAGTGAGATTCACGTTTCTATTTCCCAAAACCTCAATGAACGATGTTGCATTGACTTGGAAGTTTTGGAACAACAACAAAAAAAGAGGTTAAAATGCATCCATGATGACAAAGTAGTTGAAATGTGGGGTTATTAACAGACCTCTGACACTGTTTGGCCAAACATTTAGTTTCTTAAAACAATCCTTTTTGTTTTCCCCTTTGCCTCTCTGATAAGTGCAAACCTACTAAATAATTTAGACTAAACACTGTTCTTGGACGTCAGTGGTGATAAAGAAGGTTTTTGTGACACAGGGCACTACATTTGGTTTTGAAAACAGTTCAAGGTTGCTTTAATATGATGGAAACAAAGAAAGCCGGGGTGTTCAGAAATTGTTCCCAATAACTGAGATAACCATACTTCTTTTTTCAAAGTTTCTTCTGCTACCAGGAAAACCATATTTATCCCTGTATAACACATACAAATGTATATGTTAGCGGTATATGGGGGAAATGATCTTTGAGGAAGAGATATGACTTTGCCTACATTAAACAAATGTTTGAGAAGGAAAGAAAAATGAAAATACAGAAATATTTATATGAATTATGGAAGAAACACATATTGATTCACATAAATTGGCTATGGGAATGAGAATTTAATTTTAATTTAATTTAAATCTTTAATTTAATTTGATTTGTCAATCACTTACAAGATAATAGGTATAAGAATAAACATAGTTATGAATACATGAAATGGATACATATAAGAAAAATAAAAGAAACAATAGGACAGGGACAGTAGGTACATTGGTGCGCTTATGCACGCCCCCTACAGACCTCTTAGGAAAGGGGTGAGGTCAATAGTAGACAGTCTAAGGTTAAAGTTTTTGGGGTTTGGGGAAGAAACCAGAGTCAGGTAGAGTATTCCAGACATTGACCACTCTGTTGCTGAAGTCGTATTTCCTGCAATCAAGTTTGGTGCGGTTAACCTTGAGTTTGTATCTATTGTGTGCTCTTGTATTGTTATGGTTGAAGCTGAAGTATTCATTGACAGGTAGGACATTGCAATGTATGATTTTATATACTATACTTAGATCGGACTGAAGACGGCGTAGTTCTACACTTTCTGGGTCTAGAATTTCAACTCTGGTGGCAATAGGTATTCTGCAATGAGGAGAGGAGTGTATTTCTTATGAAATATTTCTGGACTTTCTCAACAGTGTTAATATCAGATATGTAATGTGGGTTCCAAACTGATGAGCTGTATTCGAGTATTGGTCTAGCAAATGTTTTGTATGCTTTAGTTAGTAGTGTGATATTACCAGAGAAAAAGCTACATAAGTTAACAACTCTTAATGCTTTTTTGGCTATGTAGTTACAGTGGGCTCTAGCACTTAGATCATTAGAGATGAGTATTCCAAGATCCTTTACAGAGCTTGGATCATCAACAAGGTCTTGACTATTCAGCTTGTATTTTATTTTCTGATTTTTTTTTGCCAATATATAAGGCAGAGCATTTATTTGTTGAGATTTGAAGTTGCCATTTGTTTGACCATTCTGATACATAGTCTTTTTGAAGGGTAGCAGTATTGTCTGTGGTGTTGAATAGCTTTACATCATCAGCAAAGAGAACGCAGTTGCTCTTAATATGATCACAGATCATATTAATTCTGAGATGTAGCTCAGAACATCTGGAGGGCACTAGTTGGGATTATTATCTTAGTCCTATATATTTTGCAGGATGTAAAAGCAGCAAACAATGAATGCAAACATGTATTCTGGTCTTTCAAACTCATGAGAATTGTTGAAATATTAAATTTAATAATTCAATAGGATTATATCCTTATTTAAACTATTCAGTAAAATACATGAAGACTGTGGTAAGGCATTTGAGAAAATAGATCACTCTTTGGTAAACTGGAATTAATAAACTGGAATAATGTGAGACAGTTGGTCTTGCTACCAAATGGCTTCACAGCAAGCTATGACTATGTGGTTCCTAAATGAATCTATGCCCACAAGTAGAAAGGTATGCAGTGGATATCTGGATCTTCTGTATTGGGTACAGTGCTCTTCAATATCTTCATAAATGATTTAGATGAGAGCATAGAAGGAACACTCATAAAACATATAGATGAGTTAAAATTGAGGGGAATTGCTAGTACCTTAGAAAATAAGTTCAAAATCCATAAGGATCTTGATAGACTTGAATGTGGAGTCTTACTCCACAAGATGTTTAGTGGTGAGAAATGTAAATTTCCACACTTAGATAAGAAAAAAATGGTGCATAGTACAAGATAGATAATAGTTGGCTTAACAGTACTACTTAGAAAAAGAACTGAGTGTACAATAGATTGAGCACAAGCTACTGGTAGCAGTGTGCTGCTGCTGCTGCTTACTCAGCCAATGTTGTTTTGGTCTGCATCAATAGAGATACAATGTCAAGATTACAGGAAAGAGTATTATTGCTCTATACTGGTCCTGCACTGGTC